AGGGGGGCCCCCCCGCCAATGGCGAAGGAGAAGGCGGATAAGTACAAGGACGATGAAGAGGACGATCCAATGGAGAGCTTCCTTAGGGCTAAGAAGGATATTGGCCTGACGCTGGCTTCGGAGGCGCTTCACGCCGGCTATGATTCTGACGAGGAGGTTTACGCGGCAGCGAAGGCGGTCGACGCGGGGATGCTAGAATATGATTCGGATGATAATCCTGTGGTCACCGATAAGAGGAAGATCGAGCCAATTCCGGCTTTGGATCACAGTTCGATCGATTACGAGCCTTTTAATAAGGATTTGTACGAGGAGAAGGATTCAATATCTGGTAAGTACTCAAAACAGAGTATTTGTTCCTTATTAGTTTTAATGTTAAGTTAGCACATTTTTTCAGACTAAATTGCAAAATTGAAATTCTTAAAAGAGAGTTTGGTATTGGGGCATTACTAAAATTCTGATTCTAGTTGGGAATAACGTTTTCAATAATGTCTCAGTTTGCTCTCATAATAGGCTGGATTAGAATGAAGATCAACCTTTTTTTCTGAAGAAGGAAAAGAAGAAAAATGATTATCAACAACTTGATGATTATCTAGCAAAGAATGATAACAAACATGTGAACCTGTAGTGTTATGTTTAAAGTTTCAAGCTTTATCATGTTATGTTTCATTAGTAACTCATAAGATTTTGATAGGAACCAAATCGAGAGAGAGAAAGTTTCAAGCTTTATCATGTTATGTTTCATTAGTAACTCATAAGATTTTGATAGGAACCAAATCGAGAGAGAGAAAGTTTCAAGCTTTATCATGTTATGTTTCATTAGTAACGCATAAGATTTTGATAGGAACCAAATCGAGAGAGAGAGAAGATCAACCTTTTTTTCTGAAGAAGAAAAATGATTATCAACAACTTGATGATTATCTAGCAAAGAATGATAACAAATATGTGAATAAGATAGGCATTGAGCTTTCGAGAGGCTCAATTCTCTCCTCAAGGAAATACTTCCATTCACTCACAGATTGCCCCCCTACACCCTACGCAACTTGCTATTTATTCCATTACATAACTCATGCCCCCAACTAACAGAACACAGATCCCCATGACATCAGCAATTTCCCAAAATTAGCCCTCGGGTACCAACTGATTTACCCCCCTCACGAGCTTGGCACGCCTGGCAAATGTAAACCGAATGGGAGGCTTAACAGATTTCTAATCTTATTTATTTTTTGTCTGATATTGTTATTGTTCCTCAGGGATGAGTGAGCAAGATGTTGCTGAATATCGAAAGAGCTTGGCCATTCGGGTGTCAGGTTTCGATGTACCAAGGCCAATTAAGACATTTGAAGATTGTGGATTTTCTCTGCAACTCATGAATGCTATCAAGAAGCAAGGCTACGAGAAGCCTACATCAATACAATGCCAAGCTTTACCCATTGTGCTTTCTGGGAGGGATATTATTGGTATAGCAAAAACTGGTTCAGGTAAGACTGCTGCTTTTGTCCTTCCAATGATTGGCCATATCATGGATCAGCCTGAACTTGAGAAAGAAGAGGGTCCAATTGGAGTAATATGTGCACCCACTAGAGAACTGGCACACCAGATATACTTAGAGTGCAAGAAATTTGCAAAACCTCATGGGATACGTGTCTCTGCTGTATACGGCGGTATGTCCAAACTGGATCAGTTCAAAGAGTTGAAGGCGGGATGTGAAATAGTTGTTGCTACTCCTGGGAGATTGATCGACATGCTGAAAATGAAAGCACTTACAATGTCAAGGGCAACTTACTTGGTACTTGATGAGGCTGATCGGATGTTTGACCTTGGATTTGAGCCACAGATTAGGTCCATTGTTGGTCAGATTCGGCCAGATCGTCAAACCCTACTATTTTCTGCAACAATGCCACGTAAAGTTGAAAAGCTGGCTAGAGAGATTCTTACTGATCCTGTAAGAGTTACTGTTGGGGAGGTGGGAATGGCCAATGAGGATATTACTCAGGCTGTTCATGTGATTCCTTCTGATGTTGAGAAGTTACCCTGGCTTCTTGAAAAGTTACCTGGAATGATTGATGAAGGTGATGTTCTAGTGTTTGCTTCAAAAAAGGCCACAGTGGATGAAATTGAATCGCAGTTGGCTCAAAGAGGTTTCAAAGTTGCAGCTCTTCATGGTGATAAAGACCAGGCTTCCCGAATGGAAATCTTGCAAAAATTTAAATCCGGCATCTACCATGTTCTTATTGCAACTGATGTTGCTGCTCGTGGTCTCGATATCAAGTCAATCAAGTCGGTTGTGAACTTTGATATTGCAAAAGACATGGACATGCATGTTCACCGTATTGGTAGAACAGGTCGTGCTGGTGACAAAGATGGCACTGCATACACCCTTATAACACAAAAGGAGGCTCGGTTTGCCGGTGAATTGGTCAACAGTTTGATTGCTGCTGGTCAGAATGTGTCAGTGGAGCTTATGGATCTTGCTATGAAGGTAGCGTCTCATTAGTATCTAACACTTTCAAATGTGATATAAATCTGTTTTGGTTTTGTTTTAAAATGAGTTATCTTCATGTCCTTTGAACAATAAAGTAGTATACCTATAGCTTTCCATCTTATTGCAGTTATGTTTTATGTTTTGACCCAAACCAGTGTTTGTGTGTGTCAGTTGCTGGATTATAACACACAAACATGTGCTCACTCACATATTGCTAAGATGTTATTAAATATGTTTTTATCTTAAATCATCAGGATGGAAGATTCAGGTCCAAACGTGATGCAAGAAAAGGAGGTACCATTCTTAGTTTGTTATCACCACATTGTAACTGCCATTTTATTTGGGTATTTTGCAAAATAAGAGAGTTGTCTTTGCTTGGTCTATAGCAAACTTGTTTGAGTAGTCCTCTATAACATTTTTTATATGATGTTTAATATCTCGTGCAGGTGGGAAAAAAGGTAGAGGACGAGGTGGAGGTGGAGGTGGAGGTGGAGGTGGTGGTGGTGGTGGTCGGGGTGTTCGTGGAGTAGATTTTGGTTTGGGAATAGGTTATAATCCAGAATCTAACAATGCTTCGCCACAAGCTGTTCCTAGTCGATCTGCAGCAGTAAATTCTCTGAGGACGGGAATGATGACTCAATTCAAGAGCAACTTTGTTGCTGCTTCTTCAAACTCTCAGAATCAGGGATCAAGTAACTATTCGAGTGCACCTACCAACAATAGACCAGCCTTAGCTGGCTTTGTCTCAGGTGGTTCCATCGGTGGTGATATCTATAGAACTCAGACAACAAATTCAGTGAGTTCTGTCCCAACGTCTGGGATAAGCACCTCCTCTAGTCAGAACTCCAGCGGGAATAATCAGAAGAGCTCGGAAAGGTTAGTTACTTAGTTATGTCCTTAACGGTATCTTTTTGGGGTACATGCAACTAATAAATGTTGCTGATCAATTCATTTGCTGTTCTTGTTGCAGTTCTACAGATAGACCTAGAGAAAGGCGAAGGTCCTCTGGTTGGGACCGTTAAATTCCATTTAATGGTTCTTCTCAACATGAAGATTTTGTTTATGTTCTCTCTTTTTGTCATCTAGGTCAGTTCTTTGAATTTCTGTACAATTATTTATGCTTGGTGAGTTATGTAGTTATTAACCGTTTATTATTTTTGGTATTTTGTTTTTTCTTCTCCGTTTCAGCTAATTATATATCTTTAGCAGCCCAGCAATCAATATAAGAATTTTGTTATTTGTAATTTGTAGTAAGAAATCTGGATAAAGAAATCATCATCGCCAATTATATGAATGACCCTTTCAGATAACGTTCTTTGTACAAATGGTTGCGTTTCCTGCACAAAGTTGTTACTTCTAGTTTTTTGAGACACAAGTATATAAATCTGTAAACATTAAGAAGTTATGTCAGTTTGTAACCTCGCAGTGATTCAGTTAAATATAACAAACTGGATCGGCCGAGTATAATATTACGCCATTCAAGAGGCCATCATTACATTTCTGAAAGCTAGAAATTATGTACAACTTATGATTCCCAACACAATGTGGGAAAATGTAACAAAAATAAACAACTTCAAGCCTTGGGGCATCGCTGATCAGCAGTTCTGTTACTGGCAAGTTCTCTTCGTCTAGTGGCATTGGGGCATATCTCCAAGCAAGGCTCCTTAAGAATGGCATCATATTGGGGCAGTGGAGGGTTCACACCAAATTTGAACTGCCATACAAGATTTTTAAGGCGATTAGCTATCACTTGATCAGATTTGTCCAAAATCGTTTCTATTCAAAATCCCAAGACTAGCCAATTCATCAGCACAATCTTCGTTTTACTAAACTATCCCATCTAAACAAGAAACAAATGAATAAATAGGCATTGCGTGGAAATAGATAGTGGGATACCTGGCAGCTATAGTCGGTGAAGTTTGGCTCCATTAGAAGAGGAACACCCATGTAATCCTTGAAGAAAGACTATAAAACGGAAAAAAAAAAAAAAAAAAAAAACCCTAATGGAATAAGAACCAGCTTGCTTGAAATAGTTTTTACTTGTAAATTCCATGAGTAAAACAAAATATGACTTTTCAATTAGCGTTTAGATTCATTATTATAAAAAGAACTTAATGAGACAAAACTACTATTTAATCTTATTAATAAACAACAAGAATATTATAGCAGAGAGTTTATAAAGTCATCTAAACTATGGTACGAGTTTTAAGATATTCTTAACATAAGTTCTCCTTAACAGAGTTTTGAAAGCCCTGCCAAACCGGCTCTATATTCAGGTTTAACAAATTGTTGTTTCCTCAATAATCGAACTGACCTGCGTAGGAAGCCTACAAGTATTAATGCAAATCCCCACACATTTGCTTTCTTCTAAGTACTTGCATTTCTCAACAAACACCTACAATGCCAAAAATACCCCCAACATGAGAACCATATATTAGTTAGGGCCCATTTAGTTCGCTGATTCGAGTTGAGATGTAACAAAAAAGTTAGATGTGATTGTTTCTGATAGCTTTTTACTGTAGCAAAACTCGAATTATAAAATTGAATCGGTGAAATGAACGAGGTATTAATAATGAATTCTGATAGACCAAATTCCAAACTCACTCACCCCACTAGCGCATGAGGTTCCATCAGGTAGATCCACAGAATTAACAGTGCATCTTCCCATTAGCCATTGACAAGTAAGTGCCGTCACTCTTGCTTGAATTCACATATCCAAGAACAACCAAATTGTGAATTGTAATTCATACATATATTCACATCAGAATATAAATAAATAAATAAATAAATAAATAAAACACTTATGATATAACATGAGCTTTGTTGAAAAAACCTATTTAGAGAGACATAATTGGTCCAACTGATAATTAACTAAGAATTAATATTAACAATATTAGAAGTAATTAAGTTGGTCCAACTGAACTTACCGACCATAACGGCAGCCACTTTTCCACCTGCCAGGGGTGCTACAAGCATTTTATACAGCTCCAACAGCCATGGTGGAAATAACGATCTCAATATTCGTACCTACAGCGTATTTATAATACTAATATAAGCCCCAAAATAAAATGAATTGTTCGATTGCCATATTTGCTGGTAAACAAAAAAAAATCTCAAATATATATTGCTTGATAAACAGAAAAAACAATTTACTATAAAATATATATGATATATATATATATATATATGTACCGCTGCTTCTGTAGTGTTAGAATTGGATTTGCTTTTCATCACAAGATGGTTTGCAACTTCTATAAGTCCACCGTATCCGGCCTTGTCTGAATCCCATCCAACCTCCTATACAACATCGTAGCAACCAACTCATCACACATATGATGTTTAACCTTTTTTTTTCTTTCTAATTTTTGGCTCAAATGAAGAAGAGGAAAAAGGGTGGGGATGGATTGGAGCTTGGAGATGAAAATGAAATTACCTGCACCATTTTGTCACGGAACAAGTTGAGGAACAAATCATCAAAGACTCCAGGTTTGTATTCGAGCTTCGGAACCGCGCTTTCATGTCTTACCTGAGAGATTGGAATGACAAAATTCTCATTTTAGATGAAAGGGAAAATGAGAGTGCAGTGGCATGAGAAGAGAGAGGAGAGAAGAGTGAGTGGCACCTGTTGTGGTGGAGGTGGAGGAGAAGAGGAGAAGTAAAGGCGAAAGGAATGTTTAAATTTATGGGGATGAGGATGAGGAGGATTGTTGAAGTTGAGAGGACGAAGATGATGATGATGATGATGATGAGCCACTGCTTCCATTTCCAACCTCAGCCACCACCAAGTCCGACCATTCGCTGACTGCTACTGGGAATTGGGGCACTTACAATATCCAAATAAGCAAATAATATATATATATATATATATATATTATTTTTTTTGGGAAAAGAAAAAAAAAAACAACATTGGCAAAGACACTGCTGCGTGTTTTAGAGGGAAAAACGGCAATAATCGGAAACCAACATAGTGGGAAACGACACGGAGTTATAAATTAAAATTTAAAACCACTGCAACGGCATAGAATGACAACAGAAATCACAAAAGTCAAGTACAGAACATTTCGAGAAATAAAAAATAAACAAAGTAAACGACATTAATCAGAAAACGACAACATGCTCAAAAAACGTCAACAACCGAAAACTTGCATGATCAGAAACGACAGCACCTTCTAATTTGATAAGAACTTGTACCCCAACAATGCCTCGAAAGACGACAACAAAACGTCTCAAACAAACATCAGCTATAGAAAATACATGAAAGAAGGAACGACAACAATCAATTAAAACGACAATTAATACATGAAAACGACAACTCAAAGAAAAACGACATGAAACAACTTCGAAGACAACAATGTCCATGTTTTCACTTTTCAAGAAGAAGAAATCCTGTTAAACCCAACAAGCCCTCTCTCTAGAGAGAGGGGAAAAGCGGAAGGAGAAGTAATCTTTAATCTCTGCCGAAATGAACAATACTCGGCGCGTAATCTCCTCCGCAACCGCAAGGCGCGTCGGTAGGCAGCTGTCAGAGCCGGCGGCGCCTCCAGGACATGGGGAATGCCTGTACCGAAGGCTGTCGGGTGTGAAAGCGACGGGAGGCAGCATTAGGAAGATGCTAAACGAGTATGTGATGGAGGGCAATGTCGTCCTCAATTACGATCTCTGGCGATGCCTCAAGGAGCTTCGCAAGTTAAGGAAGTTCCATTCTGCTCTTGAGGGTCCAATTTCGATCCCTTTCTTTCAAACTCTTACAATATATATACATATATATATATATATAATATTTGTTGTTGCAGAAACACTGTATGTGATGACTATGATGTAGAATGTGTTGAGGTGTTTTTAATGTTGGAAAATTTCGAAGAGCTATTTTTGTTTTGAGGTCGTTTTATTGAATTTTCTAACTATTTTAACTGAAATTTGTTTGTGGAAGACTAGAAGAGAAAAGGCAATTATGCATGAGAAATGTTGTGTTAAGCTTGTTTAATACTATTTTACAAAAAAGTTCACTGGTGACAGTAAATTACGATAAATATGTAAAGTTTTTAATTTTTGCAAACAAGCTTATTTTACAAAAAAGTTGGTGACAGTAAAAATCATGATGAATATGTAAAGTTTTAATTCTTGAAAGAATTTTTGTCCAGTTACAAACTATAACATTGTTCTGCTGTTCAGTTCATGATTACTTGAATGCAGATAATGGAATGGATGGGGGTGAGGAAGATCAATTACTCTCTCACTGATCACGCAAGGCGTCTGGATCTTATCTCCAAAACCAAAGGGATTGCGGCAGCGGAGAATTACATGAGCAATCTCCCACCATCAGCAAAGAACAAATTTAGTTATGGGGCTCTTTTGAATTGCTATTGCGTGGAAACAATGGAAGACAAAGCATTAGTAGAGCTCTTTCGGAAGATGGAGAAATCGGGGTTTATTTCAAACGCTTTTCCTTTCGCCAATCTCATGACAATGTACATGAAAATGGGCAAATCTGAAAATGTTCCCGTTCTAGTACAGGGAATGATAAAGAGGAATGTGTATCCGAGCACCTACGTTTACAATGTTTTGATGCAAAGCTACGCGTCCCTGAACGATATTCCAGGAGTTGAAAGAGTTCTGGCTGAGATTGAAATCTTAGATGAAAGCAAGTGCAATTGGACAATATATAGTAACCTTGCTACAATCTATATGAAGGCTGGACTTTTAGAGAAAGCTACGGTTGCTCTTCGAAAGGTAGAGTGTGAGTTGAAACCCGGGCCGCGTGAAGCGTACCATTTCCTATTAAGCCTCTATGCTGGGATTGGTCAACTCAGTCACGTTAATAGGGTATGGAAAACCCTGAATGAGGTTTATCCGACATGCAACAACATGAGCTATCTTGTCATTCTTCAAGCTCTTTCTAAGCTCGATGATTTTGAGGGCATGAGGAAGTGTTTTAAGGAGTGGGAGTCTAGTCATTCCTATCATGATATCAGGTTTAGGAATGTTGTTATAGGTGCTTACCTTCGTCACGGCATGGACAAAGAGGCAAAGTTGCTCTCTGAAGATACCGAGAAGAGGTTTAAAGGGCCTTTCGTCAAAAGTCGGGAAGAGTTCACGTTTTTCTTCTTGGAGAGTCATCGAACGGATTTAGCTCTTAGCTATTTGGATGACAATGTTTTTGAGGCCAAGGATGGTGGATGGCATCCACCCCCATCACTAGTAAATGCCTTTTTGAACTGTTTTGAGGTAGAGAAAGACGTTCCTAGTGCTGAAAGGCTTCTTAACATTCTGAAGCCCTTTCGCTGACTCAGTTCGGACCATTACAAATTGTTGCTTAAGATTTATGTGGCTGCTGGCAAGTTTGCTCCGGATATGCGTAGAAGATTGGAGGAAGATGGTGTTGAAATTAGCTGCAATATTGAGGAGTTGCTTCAAAGGGTGTGCCCTGACTAGAATAGTTTTGTTTAAGCTCTGTAATTTCAAATACATTGTAAAGTAACATAATTTTTGAAGAATAATCCCTGAATATTGAGTTGATTGTGTAATTAGTTCTTAATGCTCTTTCCATTTTTAGAGTGATTGGTTGTAATATAGGTATGCACATATTATGTGGGTTAATTATAGGGGATTGATTGGTTACCTAATTTGTACCCTAATTGATGCTAATTGATTGATTGACAGATTGTATTCTTAAAATCATTCCTATATATACTCATGTACAACTCAAAGTATCAGTGAATATGAATGTGTTCCTGATCCGTGGAATTAGGCAAGTTGCTGAACCACGTACAACTTTGTGTTCTTCTTCTCTTCTGCCTCTTCTCATTTGTTCTAATTTTCAAGGTAATCTTTGGTGGCTCTTCTTTGATGGAACGCTTTTGAAGGGTTAAATTGGCTGGAATGTTCAGATTAATCTTATCACCTTACATGACGCCATTCAGCTCTGAAAAATATAAAGGAATGAAGAAAATGGCATCCGAAATTAACAAAAAAGAATACACACATTTATACTCTGTTGTTGGGAAATCTACTTGAAAGCGAATAAGAAACTCAGTAAAAAGGAGGTAAATATGTTGTATAACCATGAGTTTCCCAAAGTTTAAGATCTACCTTTTGTTTTAACTATGATTTTAGATTCATTTGCTTAAATATTCTTCTCCAGACAAGGCGAAATGGGGCGCTTTTAAATCTCATTGATTTCATTTTCAAATCATATTTTTATTACATTATTTTTTCTCATAAAAATTCACATTTAATTTTTTATTACAGTATTTTTTCTCAAATAAATTTAATTTTTAAATTAAGTTCTTAATTCGAACAAGCGAAACAAACGGGACCTTAAAATATCCAATAAGCAAACAAACAAGTTAAAAAAATTTTAAAAAAAAGAAACATCGGTGAAGACGCTGCCATGTTTTTGAGAGGGCTAAACAGCAATAAAAAGAAAGCGACGTCGTCGGAAACGACACTTTCCACTAAAAGACAACATGAAATAGGAAACGACATTAATCGGGAAACGACAACATGCAAAAAACGGAAAACCTACATGACCAGAAACGACGCCACCTTTGAATTTGTTAAGACCTTAAACCTCAACAATGACTTAACAACGACAAAAATCTCAAAAAACAACATCAAAAAGTCCCAAACAAAACATCAGCTATGGAAAATACATGGAGTAAGAAACGACAACAAACAGAGAAAACGACAACTATACATACAAACGACATCAACAAGTGCGCAAGCGGCAAGACAACTCAACAACTACGTCAAAAAAACAAACTCCAGTGTTCTCAGATCAGAGAGAGGGAAAAGAGGAGAGAGGGAGGGAGAAGTGATCTTAATCTCAACAAAAAATGAACAATACTGGGCGGGTAATCTCCGGCGCAAGGCGGTTCGGAATCGGAAAACAGATCTCTACGACGGCGGCGGCGGCTCCGGCGGGAAATGGGGAAAGCCAAAGCCTGTACAGAAGGCTGTCGGGTTTGGGAGCGACGGGAGGCAGCGTTTGGAAGACGCTTAACGAGTACGTCATGGAGGGTAATGTCGTCCGCAAGTACGAGCTTTGGCAATGCGTCAAGGAGCTTCGCAAGTTCAGGAAGTTCCGCTCTGCCCTTGAGGTAGGTCCCAATTCCGAATTCCTTTTGTTTCTTTCTTTCAAGCTGTGATTTTTCTTTTTTCTTCTATTTTGGATTTTCTGTAGAGAAAATCAGCATCACAATATGTAATTTTGGTTCTTCTTCCGAGTTTTCTGTTTTAACTGGAATTTATTTGTAGAAAACGTGAAAAGGAAAAGGTAATTATGCAAAAGGGATATTGTGTTAAGCTTGTTACTACCAAAAAAAGAATTCACTAGAGGTGACAATAAAATAAAATTATGATAAATACTTTGTAAAGTTATAATTTTTTTTTTTTTTTATACCTAGTTACAATATTGTTCTGTTGTTTTTTTTTCTTCTCATGATTACTTGAATGAAGATAATGGAATGGATGGAGATGAGGAAAATCAATTATTCTCACAGTGATCACGCGATGCGTCTGGATCTTATCTCCAAAACCAAAGGGATTGCGGCCGCGGAGAATTACATGAGCAATCTTTTGTCATCAGAAAAGAACAAATTCAGTTATGGGGCACTTTTGAATTGCTATTGCATGGAAACCATGGAAGACAAAGCATCGGAGCTCTTTGGGAAGATGGAGGAGTTGGGGCTTGTTACAAACGCTTTGCCTTTCGCCAATCTCATGACAATGTACATGAAAATGGGCAAACCTGAAAAAGTCCCCTGCATAGTACAGGGAATGATGAAGAGGAATGTGTATCCGAGCACCTATGTTTACAATGTTTTGATGCAAACCTACGCGTCCTTAAATGATTTTGTAGGAGTGGAAAGAGTTTTGGCTGAGATTGAAATGTTAGAGCAAGGCAAGTGCAATTGGACAACATATAGTAACCTAGCTACAATCTATGTGAAGGCTGGGCTTTTTGAAAAAGCTATGGTCGCTCTTCGAAAGCTAGAGTGTACGATGAAACCCGGGTCGCGTCAAGCGTTCCATTTCCTAATAAGCCTCTATGCTGGGATTGGTCAACTCGGTGACGTTAATAGGGTATGGAAAACCCTGAATGAGGTTTATCCAACATTCAACAACATGAGCTATCTTGTCATGCTTCAAGCTCTTTCTAAGCTCGATGATGTCGAGGGCTTGAGGAAGTGCTTTAAGGAGTGGGAGTCTAGTTATTCCTGTCATGATATCAGGTTGACGAATGTGGTTATAGGCGTTTACCTTCGTCACGGCATGCACAAAGAGGCGGAGTTGCTCTTTGAAGACACCATAAAAAGGTTTAAAGGGCCTTTTGTTAAAACTCGGGAAAGGTTCATGTTTTTCTTCTTGGAGAACCGTCGAACGGATTTAGCTCTTAGCTATTTGGATTCCAATGTTTCTGAAGCCAAGGATGTCGAATGGCATCCACCCCCATCACTAGTAAGTGCCTTTTTGAGCTATTTTGAGGAAGAGAGTGATGTTCATAGTGCTGAAAGGGTTGTCGACATTCTAAAACCTTTTCGCTGTCTCAATTCGGACCATTACCAATTGTTGTTGAAGATTTATGTGGCTGCTGGCAAGATTGCTCTGGATACGCGTAGGAGGTTGGAGGAAGTTGGTGTTGAAATTAGCTGCGAAATTGAGGAGTTGCTTCAAAGGGTTTGCCCTTATTAGATTAGTTTTGTATAAGCTCTGTAATCTTGAAATGCATTATAAAATATTTTTGGCAAAAAATCTTTGGTGGCATTTCTTGGTGGAATGCTTTTGAAGAGTTAAATTGCAATGGAATATTCAGGTTAATGTTATCACCTCACGTGACGCTATTTTTAACTCTTAAAACTATAGGAATGGAGAAAATGGTAATCAAAATTAACAAATAAGAGTATACACACACATCCTTTTGTTCAAATGAGAAACCCGGTAAAAAAAAGTCATACATGTTGTAAAACCAAAAGTTTCCCACGGTTTAAGATCTACCGTTTGTTTTAGCTAAGATTTAAGATTCCTCTCTTCTACTAAGAATTCCAGCGAAAAACCCAAAGATATTCTTGTCCAAACAAGGCGAAAAGAGGACTTCTATTTCTGAAGACCCAATACCATGAGGAAGAAAAAAGGTATTATTACATCTAATCGAGAGGTTATTATAGACAAACTGAAAATGAGAAATGTAACAGAAAACAAATAGAATGAAACAGACCCAAGTATTAAAATTAAGAACTACATGAATTGTACAATTCCAAAACCACCCCCATAGTGCTATCCTACAGATTTTCCATTGGTGTGAAGGGGACTGTTTTTGGTCTGAAAAGCACCCAGTATCCCACAAATACAGATGCGCATAAAGAGACTACTGACAATAGAAGAGCAAAAACACCAGAAGCATTCACTGAGCCAGTTGTTCTAGTTGTTACAATAGAGCTTCCAGAAGGGATATCCAAGGATATCCAATCGCAGCCAACAGAATAGTGTCCTGAGCCATGCCATGGTAGTCCCTCCAGTGGATACCAAAACGCAACTGACATCTTACTCGTTCCACTGATCTTGAATTGAGCATCCTGCATTAAACAGGTAACAGATATGAATATCAATTCCAACTCTAGTCCCACTGTAATGTTTTGGTTTGAATTTGCATGGCAAATACAAGAGGGAAATGGAAATAATTGACTGCCGTTGTTTTCATGAAGCCATTAGAGAAAGAGAAACAAAAATTCAGCACAAATGTCTTAGGTTTGCACATCATCAATAAATACCTTTTAGGTTTTTCTTTTTTCCAAATTAAAGTTTGTTAATCAGATAAAGGAGAGATATTTATCATTCAATTAGAATAATCTCTGGACATGCATATTGAGTCTTGGATCTTTGGTCCTTTATCTTCTTTGTTTGATGGAAAAGCAAAGAGAAAGATCAATCGACTGATAGCTCGAACCAACTTGTTAAACGAGTATCAGAAAGTTATACCAAAAAGAACAGATTAGGGCTGTCATCAAAGTTACTAAAAATATAAAGGTAAGAAGAAGACCTGTTGAAGACGATCTAGTGTTCTCAAAGGCCTCGAGAATTCAAAGTAGTATGTGCCTTTTTTACCATCTTTTGCATATGGACTGTCATCCTCCACAAAACCTGCACGAGGCCGACCGAGTATGTAAATACGAACACATGAACCTTAAAAGCCTACTAAATTACTGTCAATTGTTGAAAGGGGAAAGCAATAGATAATAATAATAGAGATCCATATATGGAAAGCGTTAGAGCAACATATGCAGACCGTTTGCAAATGATTGACAGTGCATAATTATCGCATGCCCGGATCGTTCAGTTAAATTAAAGGGCTCTATTATGCAGGTTAACTTTCCTCCTTCGGTTGTTTAGATCATATTTTTCATGTTTCAACAAAAGGCCATCTAAGCCTGAGCTGAATAAGGTCTGTGGTACTAGGTATTAGAGTTAGTAATTAGTATTTAGTTAAAGAGTATAATTGACTAGAGGGTCATTTGTTAGCATTGGGTTAGAAGGCAGTTATTAGTACTATGGGATGAGGAGGCTTAGGTCTGATTTTGGGATTCATTTGGGGCTTTGGAAACGAAGATTAGGGAGAGCTGGTGGTCTCTAAAATACCACCATTGTTAGAGTTTATGGGTTTTATTGTACCGTTCTATCATTAATTCAATAACAATTCATTCTTCTTATTCATCAGTTTGTTAGAGATAGCTAGGTTTCTATCAAGGTCAAAAGTAATAGCTGACTTAACCTAACTATATATTTTTTAAAAAAAGTACACTACTTTACCTGAGTTAAGATTGAAGCCGCTATGCCACCATGCACCTTTCCAATCGTTCTGGGAACGAGAATCATTTCCTGAAAGTGTAGATATCACCACTATAAGTAATTGTAATAAGAACACAGAAAACAACATAAATGAAGAGACACTGCACTTCCTAGGGAGATCGAGGAAAGGATCAGAAGGGCCCGTGAATATGATAATTAATAAAGTATAACCAGAGAATGCGGTAAGTGTTCTATTTGTATTACAACATATATATATATATATGAAGTTGGAGTCTGTTAGATCCTAGGGTTTCTATCACCGGAAAGTAGACAAGAGACAAAAGGAATCGAGAATCAGTTATTCTTATTACACTGAGGGACCTTTTGAATACAATTCAGCAGTTCTTCGAGGGACTGCAAACCTCCCCCCAGCTGGCTAATTGGCCTAGCTAACCCTTTACTCACTAATTCCGTACCTCACCAATCCACTCTTCCCCTATTTATATCCCTCCCCTTTCCCCTATTCTGTTGTAACCAACTTTTCCCCCCTAACTAACCGCCTGAATGGTTACATTTTATTAACCTACTAACACGTACAGCCGTTTCCCCCTCCTAACAAACACCTGTCTTACCAAGGGTCTGGTCTTATCAGAGTCCACCTCTGCATCTCAAGGGCAGGCGAGAGAATATAAGTTATTAAGCTTCATATAGGTTTAGCAATTTAAAATGTTGATGACAAATAATTCTCACAGATTGAATAATGAAAAGTGAGCCAGAAAATTTTGAAACCAATTTCTGCTGGATTTCGTCTACACAATAGAAAGACTTGAGATTGAGTGAGATGCATTTTCTTGATCTGTCTTAACTACTCTCCTTCTTGAAGTTGCTTATTTTTCTGTTTCATTTTTCATTAGGTCAATCCCCGTTTATTAGCAAGCAACATATCTGCATGCTATTAGGGGTGTGTGTGTGCACGCACGCAGGGAAGAAGAGTAAAAAGGACGGAAGATCTAGCAATGAATTAGTTTGATTCGAAAAGTACCTGAAGGACCATTTCCATCTAGGTATCTGCAATGTGGATTCCAAGCATAAAGATCAACCAGATGACCAAATCTGTTCGCAGAAGACGTACCAAATACCACGAGTTAAAAACAAATATCAGAAGAGGTACAAGGTTAAAAAATGGCTTGAATAGTGAACAAAAATCAGAATCCTTTAACCAAATGTTTGTTCTGCTGCCGTAATCGTAATTAAAAAAAAAAAAAAAGAAAAAAGTTCTACTACGCCACCTGTCACCCCCGCTTCCCTCCGCGTTGTCTACCGGATTGCGACCATAAAGCCTTCCAGGAATAGCATTTCCAATTGAGAAGTGCATGATGTCAACTTCATGGCCCTTACAAGTCTTGTTAGTGCAAGAACTAACTCCTTCCTTACAGCCGCCCATCTACCAACATGAAAAAAACATTATTCTATTTATTTAAATTCTAGAGCACGATAAAGAACAAGATAGGAAAGAGAAACGGTTATTGCATATTAAAAGACTAGTACTTCACATTTGCCAGTGAGTAACTCACATTGTGATAGGACGCTTCCTCACCAATTTGGAACATCAAAGCAACAGATGGGCATTTGTTGTTCTCACTTCGCCACCCACATCAGGAAAGGAAAAAAAAAATGAGAGAGAATAAAAAAAGCTTCACATGTTTGATTCCGGAAAAAAGCTTCGAATAATAGAAGAAAATATTTGGTTCTAAAATCTTGAAATTAATAATAACACAGACACCCTAAACTTTACTTGAAACCGGGTTTTCAAAATGAACAGAAAAATAGAATTTTAACGAAAAACACATGATAGATCTCAGATTCAATTTTAATGCAGTATTTGTTACCATCTTATATTCTACTATCTAAAAACACAATAGCAATGCATCAATAATCAAATCAAAATAAGAAAAAAAAAATTGGGTTTCTAATTAAATCATACCCTTTGGAATACACGTAGTCCCCATTAACTTGGAGCATGAAGAACACATCATGGCCATCATGCAAAGCCTGTCGTATCATATCAATACCATAAACCCACGAACACCAGATCAAAACCCACCATAAAATTCCAAAAACAAATTATCAAATTAAGCTTTTAAAAAAATAATACGTAATCACCTTAACGGTCATTTTTCCGGCGTTGTACTCGTGTTCCGCATCTGGATCGAGAGCAGGGAGGAGAGAAAACTCGAACCCATCAATGTCCTTCCAATCTTCCGCGTGACCGTCGAGCGTGACGATTCCGGGCCTGAACTCGGCCACGAGCTGGGTCTCCGAGTCCGAGTCGCAGTGCCACTCGCCCGATTCCTCGTGCGAGTTGACCCGGCCGATTGATGCGAGGCCGAGTACTGAAAGAAGAAGTAATAACAGAAGATTTCGAAGCATTGTTGTACAAGAAAAGGAAGTTTTGATGAGCCTTTTTTTTTTTTTTTTTTTAACGTTTTTTATGCTTATATTATGTCTGTAAGAGAACTTGTAATAATATTCGCGCTTGACTTTTATTATATGTTCTTTTCTTATTAAATTCTTAATATTTTTTATTGACTTTTCTTTTCTTCTTTTTTTTTTTTAATGGCTTTTCTTTCGTAAGCTTTTTATAGATAATATCGGTTTTTACTGTTAAAAATGATTAAATTTACATCATATTAAAAAAAATATATAATTTTTATATAAATTTAACGGTTAAAAAAATTATTGATAATTATTTTTTATAATCCTATTAGAAAAAAAAAATTTATTTGAAAAAAATACCATGTTATTACTAGACTAATTAAAAAAAAGAACTTTTTTTTTGTTTTTGATGAGGATGAAAATGCTTTAAATTTGAATCAAGTAAGCTATAATAAATAAATAAATAGAAGAGAATTACAGAAATAAATAAATAAATAATGACAGTATAATGATAATAAGAGGAAAGAATTTGAGCCTAATTATAAATTGTATATTATAAGTAACAAAAAGTTTAGAATCTCATATAATTTCATATTTTAGAGGTAAGTCAAAAGACATGTGAGTTAAAAAAAAAAAAAAAACAATTCTTCACAGTAATACACGTTATTTTGGCATGGAGTAAGGTTTTAATAAGTAAGGAGACGTTTGGTTGGAGGATTTAAACTATGATTTGAATTATAGTTTATAATTTATTACAGTATTTTTTCTCATAAAAAATACACATAAATTAAAAATAATTTTAATTATATGATTCTAATTCATGAATTAAACGTCTCTTAAATTAAATGAGGGAGACGAAAAACTTGAGTCATACAAAAAATATATATATATATATATATTGATAAATAAATTCACAAAATATGAGTTTGACAGGGAAAAGAAAATTGAGAGGCTGCTTCCTGGAAAATTCTTTGGACAACACGTATGTGTCTGGCTAACTGCCCTATTTTGACTATGTTCTCAGCATCGGCGTTTGTCATTTGCAGTCAAGAAAGAGAAAGGGGAAATCACCACCACAAATGTTGCCTTTAATTTAAAAGGAGATTTTTTTAAAATTTTAAATTTTTTTCACCCTTAAATTTATGTATTTTTTAATTTTTATGTAATTTTATATAAATTTATTAGATAAAAAATTTAATTTATCAACATATTAACGTATGAATGAAGATCTCCGTTATATGTCATGAATTTTAAGTGGGAATGGTTGTGTTCTACTTTTTTTTTCCCCATTTATTTTTGTGTTTTTCCTTTAATTTCCTATTAACAAGTGGGGTTTGTTTATTCAAGAAAGAAAAAGGTGTAGTAGTACAAGTTCGTACCAATAGAGATCTCTGGTACAAGTTCTTATTTTTGCTGAGAACCAAAACATGAGCAACATTTGGGAGTCTTGCTATAGTGTGCGACCCCAAATTATGCTCCACCTGTGAAACAGGTTTACTATACCGTTCGATGTAAATCGTAGAGACTGAAAGTTAGAGACGTTTCGGTAATGACAGTTTTTATTCCGTAGCGCATGCTGAGATCACACGACGTAGACCGTCCAACACCAAAGCAGAGGTGTTGACGGAAGATTTTTTCAAGTGATTGAAAGGCAACACCCGAGCGTAGGTGTTAATGGAAGCGTGACCGTACTCGATGACGGTGTTTTTCAAATTATTTATGGCCCTTCTTGCAGTTTATCTTCTTATTATGTTGCATTATCGGAATGCCATGAATCATGATGGTCTATTAACCCACTTTTTTTTTCTTTTTTTATCTTCTTTATGTGTTGGATTCGTAATTTATGACATATATAAAACACCATACGACATTATTGAGATCATTGCTTTCTAACAGAAGTTTTTTTTTTTTTTTTTTTTTTTTTTTCTTTCTTTCTAAATTCGTAATGAGTTTATGAATTAAGGGGAATATAAAAAATGGTTATTACATTTCATCTCCGTTAAGGGCGTTAATGGTGCAAAGCAACGTAATGGTTTTTTTTTTTTTTTTTTTTTCTTTTTCTAACGGAAACTAGACTTTTATTAAGCAAGAGCACAAACAAAAGGCCAAATAAACTTTGGACTTGAATCAAATCAAGATTGATCGGACGAAAAAGACAGATTATAAAAAGCTAATATGTAGGCTACAAAATTCTCAAAACCAGAAATATAACAACTGAGCCACGAGACATAACAAAAATATCATGTTGAATATCACCAATTTAGTTGAATCTAGTGATATAAAAATGAGTTTTTAATTATAAAAATAACGTTTGATGCGTCTAATTTAATCACTCTAATTTTAAAAGCCACGATTCTGAGCTAATAAAACCGCCTCTCGCACAACAAAACATCGCCTATAGGTGTGGAGACACACAACCCCGCAATCTTAGAGCAGCAGCCAAAAGTGCAGTACCCATATCATCATCACAAAAAACAATTCCAACCCCAAAGTGATCCATACATTCTTTGACTGTTGCATCAACATGTAATTTTAAGGAGACCATCATATGTTATTTTAAAAAGAATACACGTGCCACACACGGGCTTCTTACCGCACGAAACTTGTCCAGCTGTCTTTAATAGATGAATGGCACGAGCGATTTCCACCCTGAATATTGAAGCCAATTGATGTAATCCATTAACAGTTTTCTTATGTGGTCGGTTCCACAATAGCTTATGCTACGCCCCATATCCAACGGTCACGATTTAAAGTCAGCGTAAATCTTTACGTGCTACATGCGTGGTGCAAAATTAGGGATTAGTCTACGTGGCCACAAGGCTCTAACAAATTTGACCAGTTCTTTTGAAGTGTGACTTGAGTGTAATTTTTGAGTTGAATTTGAGTTATAACTTGAGTTGAAATTGTAACTTGAATAAAGTTAGAACTTAAAAGAACATGAACTTGAATAAAGTTGTAACTTGAGTTTAAACTTTTTTTGAGTTTTGTTGTAAAAGAACAACCCAGATTTCGGGTGCATTTAGTAGTGCTTATTGGAGCCCAAAATTATTTGTCTAGCCATCAGAAACTGATAATAGTATTTGGTAAAAATTATAAAAAGTGATTTTTAAAGATTTTTTAAAGAATCTACAGTCAAAATTAGAAGCAGCCCAAAGACAATTTTGACTTTTAAATTATGTGAGAATCATCATAGTACAATTAATGATTGTCAACAAAGTTATATTAAATAATTAATAATTAATTATATTATATATTAATTAATAGTTAAAAAATAGATATACTTAATAGCTAATAAATAGATAATAATTCTTAATTATTAATTAAGTATTAATTTATTACTATTAAGTTTTTAATTTAGTTAATAAAATAACAAATAATGTAGTAATTATTTATTTAGTTAAAGATTAATTGCCAAAAATTAATTATACAACATATTAACAATAGAACAAGTAATAATAGGTTATTAGATAAATAATTAATATATCAATTATGTTAATTATAATCAATTAATTAGTAAATAGTTGGTAAATAAAAAATAAATAGTAATTACTCAATTAATAATTAATATTAAATTATAATATCAATATGTAATATATTAATCAATAATAATTAATAATTGATAATTAGTAATTAATCATTATAAAAATAATAATTACCAAAAATTGATATTAATAAATTATGTATATACTAATTATTTTTTTAATACACTAATTAATTACTTATAATATAATAAATATAAGTACATTACTAACATAATAATTATTTATAATTAATTACTAATTACTATTTTTAATTATTTAACATATTAATTTATTATATATAGTTTAATTACTAATGAGTACATTAGTGATACTTAATCCATTATTATTGTATTATTAATATATTAATTTTTAATAATATATCTATCACAATGTGAGTTATCTTTCACACTTATAAAACTTATAAGGACCAATTGTGACTTATTTTCATTGTCGTTTATCTGATTGAACAACATCCATGTTCACTTCCTCTTCGTTGATTCGAGTTAAGATATGACTTTATGTGAGAATTTTTTACTGTAGTAAAAAAGTTAAATGTAACTGTTTCTGACAGCCTTTTACTATAATCAAACTCGAATTCTAAACTCAAAATTGGTGAAACGAACGGATCATTAACTCAAATTTATTGATTCGAGTTAAAAAAGTAGATTTGAGTTGTAAAAAATTTGAGTTTAGAAGGAGATTGATTTGACATTTAAAACTTGAGTTTTGTGTTCACTTATACTAAAGTTAAACTCTAATTACAAAGAAGTATTTTTTTTTTGTAGAGACAATCCACACTGTAAAACTAAACTTAAGTAATGAGAAAATAAAAGGTGGGTAAGACTCACCAACTCAAATTATTACTTGAATTTGAAATTCGAGTTGCGTTTAAGAAATGCATAACTAACCTAATTTTATACTCAAATTAAGGCCCCGTTCATTTCGCTGATTCGAGTTTAGAATTCAAGTTTTTCTACAGTAAAAAGCTCTCACAAACAATCACATCTAACTTTTTTGTTATAGTAAAAAGCTCTCACATAAAGTCACATCTCAACTCGAATAAACAAACTAAATGGGCCCTAAACTTATTCTAATGTGATTTACAAAGTGAACAACCCAATATATATAAAATACTCGTTCACTTCGCGGATTCGAGTTTTCAATTCGAGCTAGGATGTGATATTTTTTGAGAACTTTTTACTGTAACAGAAAAAATTAAATGTGATATTTTTTAAAAATTTTTTACTGTAAAAATTTAAAATTAAAAACTCGAATGTGTGAAATGAACGAGACCAAAGTGATTAACAGTTTTACCCCACAAATTATCAACAAAAAAAAAAAAGAAAAAACCTTAAAGGCTTAAACCCTCCGCTGGCATCAGAAGGAAGTCATACTCAGAGATACTACAGAGAACCTATTTTAATAATAACAAAAAAAAAAAAAAAAAACAATGATGTAAATGATCAGATCTGCGTTTGTTATCGCAGTTGCAGAGTGTGAGATCTCTATTTCTTTCTCTAAAATTTTGAGCAGAAGATGAGTTTCACAAAGGCGTTGTTGCTCTTCTTCGTGATTTCCGTCTCTTCAATTTCTGCTACTTTCGCCGATTCCATCCATGGCTGCGGTGGTTTTGTCGAGGTAGATCTCTATTTACCTTCTTTTAAAAAAGAATGGGAATTATTATTTGTTTAGAACTGATCTTAGCTTCTGAATTTGATTTTGATGTTCTTTATAGGCAAGTTCGTCTTTGATCAAAGCGAGAAAGGCAAGCGATGTTAAATTGGATTATTCGCACATCACGGTACTTGGATTTCGACGAATTTCGGTTTTTTTTTTTTTGGTTTAGAATGCCATTAAGAAGTGAAACTAAACCTTTGAAGTCTCTAGAGATATCGACTGATTGCCTTTTAGTTGGCTATATTTCGCTTAATCTCTGGGAATTTTATTTGTGTTTGTCTCTAACTTTGTGCTGAGAAAGATCTAATTTAGATTTTTTTTTTATTAATTTAGATTGAGCTTCGCACTCTTGATGGACTGGTTAAGGATAGAACTCAGTGTGCGCCCAATGGCTACTACTTCATTCCAGTATACGACAAGGTATTTCGTTATTCATTTACGTTTTTTTAATTTTTTTTCTGAATCTTTAAAACTTCACTTTTTGTAATGTGCTTGTATACGTTTTAATGCTAATCACGTAAGGTTTCTGGTTCCAGGGTTCGTTTGTCATTCAAATCAAGGGACCAGATGGTTGGGCGTGGGGCCCAGATAAGGTTTTAGCAAGCTTCTTTGCTCTCTCTCTCTCTCTCTCTCTCGGGTTCATATATTTCAATGAAAAATACGCATTGGCAGGATGACAATATCAAAGTTTAAGACCAAATTGTTTATTCTCTTGATTTTTTTTTAATCTATTACATTGATAAAATCAATAAGATAGGCTTTCAATCTTTGCATGGATCCTGTGGATTATTAGTTGGGGCAAAGTCTCGGACACCATGGTTATCCAAAAAAAAAATAAAGGCTTTTATTCTGACTTTGATAGTTATGACTTTAAGGATTGAACTCCAAATGTTCTTTCTCATATTGAACTCCAAACTTTCTTTCTCATATTGAACTCCAAACGTTCTTTCTCATATTGTTGATGATGCTGGAATTGCTCTACAGGTTCGTGTTGTTGTTGATGATGATGGCTGCAATGGCAATGAAGACATTAACTTCCAGTTTACAGGGTTTGTTTTTATTTGTTAGTTTCTCTTTGTATTGTCACATTTGAGGTGTGTGCTTCTGGGTGCTTAGCATTTCCTACGCAAGTTAACCTTTGTTTTTGCAATTGGGTTCAGGTTTACTATTTCTGGTAGAGTCGTGGGAGCTGTTGGTGGTGAGAGCTGCCCACTTAAGGAAGGAGGGCCTTCAAATGTAAATGTTGAACTTTTGACTCCTGCAGGTGATCTTGTTTCTTCTGTTCTAACATCATCCGATGGGAGTTATTTGTTTACAAACATTATTCCAGGTACGAAAGTGTCCAAATTACTTTAGTAGGAGACCTATATAATTCTACTCCATTTGATCTGAGTTTTTTGAACTTCTTTAAACAGAGTTTTTTCTTGGTTTTTACTAGAAACCATCTTTCAATTAGTTCTAAAAGGATAAGAGAAATGTCTTACATGTGTTTTCTGTTGGTGCAGGAAAATATGAACTACGAGCTTCACATCCTGATTTGAAAGTTGAAACTAGAGGTCCAACTGAGGTTATGTTCTTTTTCTTGTGCATTTGTTATTTAACTTCTGTATTTATATGATATTTTCTTGTCCGTTCCCTCCCTCCATCTCTCTTTGTTCTTGCTCAAACTGATATCATTAATCACTTGTAATAAACTTCTTTCAGGTGGACTTGGGTTTTGGGAACAGCGTAGTTGAGGATATTTTTTATGTCCCTGGGTATGATATTAGTGGCTTTGTTGTCTCTCAGGTAAAATTTTAGTTGGACAGTATTTTCACAATGAAATTATCATGGTTTGCACTTTACTCATATCTTTGAATCTTTTGTTAAGTAGGGAAATCCAATATTGGGAGTTCATGTCTATTTAACATCAGATGATGTCTTTGAGGTAGACTGTCCCCAAGGTTCTGGTACCCCCCCTGGAAAAACAAAGGCTCTCTGTCATGCTGTATCTGATGCCCAAGGAATGTTCACGTTTAAATCCGTACCTTGTGGTAATTCTCCTTTCATGGTGTATGCTTAGAGAAATTTCTGTGTATCAAGTATTGAGAATAAGTTGTTTTTAAGCATTCTGAAATGCACGTGAAATTTAAATGCGATGCATCAAATTTGGTTGCTACCCTCTTGTTGACAACTATAGAGCTTTGCTGACTTCAATCATTCTGATGCCTTATTTTTATTTAATCCGTGGCAGGAAGTTACAAGCTTATTCCTTATTACAAGGGTGAAAATACAGTATTTGATGTTTCGCCTCCTGTCCTGTCTGTGACTGTTCAGCATCAGCATGTGACAGTTCCCCAAAAGTTTCAGGTAAAAAAATTGTACTAGCCTATGTGGGATTTTGTCTCTTCACTTTCTAGTCTTGAATGCTTAAATTTACTCTTTTGCTATTTGGATATTGAAATTAGTTTATTGAATAAGAGAACCTCTATTTCCTTCTTTTGTGTAAGAACGAACAAGTTAGTATTCTTTTTTTTTTCCTCCCTGTTAAAATGTATAGGTTACTGGATTTTCTGTTGGGGGCCGAGTCGTCGATGGAAATGACATGGGAGTGGAGGGTGTTAAAATTATAGTTGATGGTCAGGAAAGATCTATCACCGACAAACAAGGATATTACAAGCTTGACCAGGTATAGTTCTATTATGCTTCTTAGGAATTAATTCTGTCTCTCTTTTGGTTTTTAATTATATTTGATGTTTGATAGGATGAAGTTATTCTATTTTATCGTCACTGCTACTACTATTACTCTTGTTGAAAGTTTAGATTACAAGTTGTTTAATTTTTTAGGTTATGTCTAATCGCTATACGATAGAGGCTGTGAAGGAACACTACAAATTTGGCATTTTGAAGGAATATATGGTAAAGTTTCTTTTTTTTTTTCACTTATCTGTGTTTAGATTAGTAAGTTCTACTGATTCTTGTTACCTTAAATGTCTCTTCTGTTCTTATTCTCTTTCCCATTGTGCTTTCTAATGAAGGTATTGCCAAACATGGCTTCAGTAGTGGATATAAAAGCAGTTTCTTATGATGTTTGTGGTGTGGTTCGTATGGTTGGTTCTGGTTACAGGGCAAAGGTAAAAGCAGAGTGTTATTTTATTTATTTATTTTAATCTTGTGTCAGCTACTCTCAGTTTTTTGTTCTTATTGATTAACTATGTGACATGTGAACTATAGGTTGCTTTGACTCATGGACCAGAAAATGTTAAACCTCAAGTGAAACGAACAGACGCAAATGGAAACTTCTGCTTTGAGGTATAAGCTTCTTTTGTAGATGAGAGTTAGCTAGAGTAATTTATTGAATAATTTTTTCCTAATGTGTTTTGGTTATTTTGATTGGTTAGTGTGATGTATTTTTTCAGTTAACCTGGTTCTGTACAAATTACATTTCTTTTATCTTTGATATTTCCCAGGTTCCATTGGGTGAATACCGTTTATCTGCTTTGGCTGCCCAAACTGAGAGCACTTCTGGCCTGATGTTTTTGCCGACTTATATTGATGTTACGGTTAAAAGTCCATTGCTGAATATAGAATTTTCTCAGGTAAATTTTAAGAATTCATGAATTCTTTTAACCTTTTTTTCCCTACTTTTATTTTTTCTGCTGTCTCTCTTGGAATTTTCTAGTCAATCTATTACCAATATTTTGATAGTTTAGCAATTAGTACATGGTTTCTTTGGATTATTGCTTTTTCATGAAATTTTTCAGTTATATTTATAATTCTATTTTATTTAGATGCATGATTGATTAGTATACGTTTTGCCTTTTTTTTTGTTGTCAATAATTAAGGCGTTAGTCAATATACTGGGCACTGTAGCCTGCAAGGAGAAATGTGGTCCCTCTGTTTCAGTTACCCTTTTAAGATTAGCTGATAAGCGTAATGAAGAGAGGAAGACGGTTAGTTTGACTGAAGACAGCAACAAATTTTTATTTTCGGATATTGTTCCTGGAAAGTACAGACTTCAGGTATGTGCTTATTCTTTGCTCTATAAGTTTCTGGGACTTTTGTTTAAGTTCTTCGCATGGATTTTGTAATTTTTGCCATTTACACCTGGTTTTTTCTTTTTAGTGAATTCATTTGCCATTAAGTAGGCAATGAATGTTTCATGCTTATGATGTCACTGAATTTTTCTGTAATTTCCCCTAATGAAGTCATCATTGTAGGTCAAACACAACTCCCCTAATGGGAAAGATAACTGGTGCTGGGAGCAGAGCTTCATTGATGTTAATGTTGGTGCTGAGGACATACAAGGAATTGAATTTGTTCAAAAAGGTTACTTGGTCAATATTATTTCCACCCATGACGTAGATGCTTTTCTGACTCAACCAGATAGTTCTCCCATCAATTTGAAGATTAAGGTATTCATCAACGGCTTATGAAAATATTTATATCACCAAGCATGCCAAATTCATTTCTTTGCCTTTATGAAATGCAGAAAGGTGCTCAGCAAATCTGTGTAGAACATCCTGGAGTTCATGAGCTTTATTTTGCTAATTCATGCATTTCTTTCGGAAGCTCCTCCATCAAGATTGACACTCTAAGCCCAAGGGTACAATGCCTATGCTGGATCTTTCACTTAAATTTCGTTTTGGTTGGCGACGTGCTTAGTAAAACTTCTCTCCCCACTCACATTATGATTTGTTTTTTTGGCAGCCTATTTATCTGAAAGCAGAGAAGTATCAACTTAAAGGACAAATCAAGGTCGTGCCAAGCTCATCTGATGGTGTGTCTGAGTTACCAGAGAATCTAATTGTGGATATTCTGAATAGTGAGGGGAATCCTGTATATAGTACCGAATCTAGACTTACTTCCAGTGGAAATGGTCAAACAAGTGGGGCTCTGTATGAATATTCTACATGGGCTAGTCTTGGAGAAAAACTTGTATTTGTTCCTCGGGATCCAAGGTACGTTTTGTTTGATAGTTATATGCCTTAGTACTGTTTTAGTTATTTACCTATCCATCTTCCTCAAGTTCAGTAATTATTTTGTATATTAGTATTTACTTACTGCTCTTTTTTTACATAACCTTTTCTTCTGCAAGTTATTTAAAGAACACTGATTCCCCC